TTATTTGTTAATATGACTGCCTGCCATATACAAGCTTTGCTTTTTTGGTTAAGCTACTTGATATTAATATGATTTACAATTGAAATAAATTGGAATTGAAAAATCAAAATTATAATTAAATGAAATAAATTGAATAGAATATATCCTAGGCACTGAGCCTTAAAATTTATGATAATGATGACTACGACAACGGCGCATCAACATGGCAGTGCACTTCTAATCTTAAACTACACTATGACAGGCGATGATGTTGTTACAGACTTTTTGTTTGGTAAAGAATACAAAAATGCTTGACAACCAATTACATTTACAAGCTTGTTTTAACATGCTTTTTCATTTCTACGAACTAGCACAACTTACTTTGATTGTTCGTGGTGTGAGCGACAAAGTTAAAAGCAAAATGCTAAAGAGAATTTTTTTTCGGAATAGTATCATGAATGTTTAATTTATTAAATGCACTCACAGAATAAATTTTCCCTCAAATGTAACAAAAGTAAATGAAGAGTGGCCGTACCTTGATCATAAAGATGCTTGAATTTTATTCCATGATCGTAAGTCTTAGATCCAATCTGCCGAAAATGCTTTAGAGATTTTTTTTCTGCTGGCAAAACTTAATGATCTCCTAACCTCCGGCTTCCTAAACAAAAAGAAAAATCAATCGATCAATCACACACAAAAAGCAGTTCGAAAGTGTCAATTTTATCGCATTTGCCTGAAGCGAACTTACCATGAAGTAACAAGGTATAATTAAACTGCCCATTTAATTAAAACTACACCTTATTAATTAGTGTATAGAGGACATTACACTATGACACACGCTCTTCTGGAAACACTATTGGCAACAGTAATATTACGGATACAGCATAATAGCTTGACATAACCTGGAGTACCTTGTTTATGATGGTGTAATCCATAAGGGAAAACAAAATGAGGTTGTTTTGTTATTGATATTCTGATTTTGAGTGCTACCTGTCTAGAATTTCATTTCAGTCAATCACTAAGTCAATTTTTAACCTCTAACGTAATTTTAATATCCCATTCTGTGGATTTACCAATAGTGCACTAATCTGTTTAACTTCTATCCATTGAACAAAAGCTAATATTTTTTTGGACACATACACATTGTTTGTCTTTAATGTTCATATTTCCAAACATAAAGATTGCACAGACGAAGAGCAGTATTTATTGTTAGTATAAGTTCACTCTTTTTTGATGTGATACAATGGTCAGAGGCGTTGCCCATGTCCTTCGAGGTATTTTTTATATGCTTTTCCTAAAGCATCCACTGTTGGGCTATATAGTGTGCCGAGAGATTGCGCTTTTTTTTTTGCTCGCCCCAGACCACCAATTTTGCGCTATACAAATCATTTGGTGCTGGAGGAGGCACTTTATCAAGATAATTATCATGTTGGGAAGCATAAGCATTTTTTCAAGGTAATCTCCACTGGTGGAGTCACTGCTCCACACAGCCCAGATTCCTGCTATTGGATGGTGGGTAATGCCTGATTTCCTGTCCACGTAAAAGTCACAATTTTTTACAATTCTTTAAAAAAATCTGACATCCACATTGTTTTTTACGTGTGTTTTCAGGATATTCCGACTGTGAAAGAATTCACATAGACCTCAGTTAGATGTTGGTTACTCTGTATCAAGCACTTTAATGATGATCTTAACACATTCAAAATCATAATGACAAGTGTTAAAACATAAAACAAATTAACTAATAAATCAATCTATCTGGTCCTTTACCCAACATTACTTTTACTAAATTATAACTAAAATGACATTAAAACATTAAATAAATATTATCATGAGGAAATACCACTTTATATTTTACTATAGAGAAATGTTTAAAGTCTAAAATAAAGTACAGTACTGAATATACAGTACTCTACCCTGTTACTAAAGTTGCTATTCTTGTTATACACTTTATAGTCCGGGGGCATATGTCGAAAAATGGGCTCCTGTCGGATTTTTGTGATCATTTTAGTTTTTTGGATGGAATATATACTTTGAAGTATGCTGAATCCAATAAAATGAGTTGCCAATTTTTTTACGCACATCTTCTTTTCGGAGTTACTGTCTTTTTGTTTCTTACTGTTTGGTTTGGCAATAAATCTCTTCTTCATTAAACCTCATTGAGGTTCATTCTTGCCGGCTTTTGACTCTTCACTCTCCTACCACTTCACCGTTTCAGGTTCCTCCTCTCGAACTTCTTTACCACATTTATCTTCAAGTCCTTCAAAAATGTCTGGCTTCTTTGTCATCTTTCTTGTTTACTTCGCCTTTTATATTTGTGTTTTTTTATTTGTATACAGATTCCGGACAATCAGTCCTGAGAGGTTCAAGCAACTCTCACCGAGATTGTAGAGCCTTATCTAAAGGCCAGAGAAAACAGAGTGCGAGTTCATTTTTTTTCACAGAAGAGGTAGTAGAGAAACTACGCTACCTTGTAACTGGAGATACTCTAGCATGGCATCCCAATCGTTTAATTTCAGACTTGGATGTTCAACGGCCTCAAACATCAAGGAGGTGTGTGATGACATTTGGGGAAGCATTGAACGCTACTGTAGGTACCTTAGAATGCCCTCAAGTGAGAGGGATTGGCTTGAAATTGCCAAACAGGAGGACGAGTGGCATGTACCTAATGCAGTCGGTGCTATTGATGGAAAGCACATTACCACTGAGTGCCCCAAATTCGGGGGCTCAATGTATTATAAAAAATATATTTTTTACCTTTGTACATTTTTGATATTTATTTGATTCCTTATGTTTACTTTACTTAATAACTTTATTACTTTTTACTGTACTTTGTAACTGCACCATCTTATTTATCATCAATGTTTAAATTTAATAATTCACTCCGTCCCAAATGCACTCGTAGTCAAAGTAGTAAACCCTATTATTGGAAAAATGTTCATGTGGAAAAAAATTATTTTATTAAATTTAGCATAACTCTAAATATTAAACCAATTTTTGTCATCTAAACTAATGCACTTGTCAATTGTAGTTCCGCCCCCCCCCCCCGGGCCTAGCGGGGACTTAGCCGAGGATGTAATTTTCAAAACTGTTACATGCATGTAAAAGTCCCCGCCAGCTCCCGGCAGTGCGGGGCATTGTTTTAACGTATCCCCAGCTAAGTCCCCGCCACTTACCGCCGTAGTCCCGGTAAAATGCCCCGCTAATAAATGATTGGATGATAAGACCTACTTGAAGCAAGGAGGTATAAAAATCTAGTCTACTTCTAAATCGGAGAAGCACGCGAGAACTAGGCAGGAGGGTAATTCCGTGTCAAATCAACCAGAGGTCCCAGGTCGACCGTCTCCAATTTTTATGAAACTTCTTAAAAATGATCCACTATGTGAAAATCAACATACACAAAAGATTAGCCCTACTGGATATGTAGTTTCCGAGATATTGACGGCCCCCCCCCCAAAAAAAAAAGGGGCGTGGCTCTTCAAGATGCGCAAATGCAATTTCCTCCAACTTTGGAAGCTTATAACTCAGGATTGGTAATAGCTATCAAGGTCAAACTTGGTATTCTAACTTATATTCCCCCATATTACACAAATATGGCATCAGATTAACTGTTATCCCTTCTCTTTTGAAGTTATCTGCACTCAAAATAGCCACTTTGTTTAACAACACAATTTTTTTGTGATTTTCAATGTCACCCTGTGTCCATATGAGTGAGTAATACATCTTAAATTACAGATTATCTATGGGTAGTTGCCTCTAGCCACAAGCAAGCACAGGCTGATCAAATGAATTAAAATGGAATGGCATCCATTCAAAGTTGGGACCAGCCCTAAAAAAGTGAAAAAAGCCTATGTTTCCCATTAACGGTTCGTCATGTCATGTCATGTGGACAGTTAAAATCTTTTCTTAAATAAGCTAGGCCAAGTAGATGAGCTTGCTTGATGGAAGCACTACGTATGCGTATCACTATGCAGCATGGAAGTTTGGAAAGTGCGAACAAAAAGGAGACAGATTGATCATAGAAAAAGAAAATAATTGATTGATTGTATAATAACTGATTGATGGAATTCAATTATTCAATATCAAAACAGAAATTAGGCCTAAATAAAAAAATGAATATATTACAATAGTAGTAGAAGGCTTCCTTGCCTTGGCTCACGTACTGACATATTTGTGGTGCAACACACTACTCACACGCGCCGCCACCTCAGTCCTCTGTGATGTGTGGTTGGAGGTTCAATTTTTATTATGTAATTTATACCGTGATCTATAGAAAATGAAACCATGATGGTAGACCTAAAGTACCGGTAGGCGATTTTTTAATTACCAAAACAGACAGTGTTGACTGAATGCCAAGCCAGTGTAGGCTAGTAGGACCAGACCCGGTTTGACAGCGCTAGGCTAGGCCTACACACCTGAAACCTCGGCTACTCTACCGTGTAAAATTCCCGGCCCTTTCGAGGCCTGTTACATCTACAGGTAAATTTTAGGTATGTCCCGGCACTACGGGGGACAGAACTATGTGTACATCCCCGGCTCAGTCTCGGCAAGTGCCCTGCTATGGCCCGGGTCCGGGACTACAATTGACAAGTGCATAACATCAATGTGTTCATTTCATTGAATTACATGTAATGCGAAAATATATTTGAAATCGATTGAAGGATATAATTATTTGTGTGCTCCTAGTCTAGGCTAAAAACCATATATTATTTATCCCACTCTCACCCCACCACGATACACTCCCAGCTCAGAGTGACAGGTGCTTGTCTAACAATAGATTGAACATCCCGCCACCAATTTCACCACATGTGTGTGACGATCAACTAGATCTAGTCTACTTCCAAGGAGATAATGAACAATATAACCTAATGTGTGTATGTATAATCTTTGTTTTATCTTACAGACTTACCAAAAAAACTTGAAAAGCTACGTCTTTCTGCTTTCTGTCGTTAATGTTTTGTTGTTGTGAGCAAGTGTTGTGTTTGTGTTGTGTGAATCCACCGGGAACATTACTAGTCTATCGCCCTCTCTCGTTTGGCCAATCGGATGCGCCCTCTTTTGCTTTGCCTAAATGTTATCGATGTTATGTTGTCGTTTTGTTGTTATTAGTGGCCCAACGTAAAAATGTCTAGTCTTCCTGGAAAACAGTGAGTATTGTAATTCCACACAATCAAATAATAAGATTGTGCTTTTTTGTGCCTAAGATATTTACGAAATTGTTTTTCTACTATTAAAACGGAGGCCTAAAACAGCTAGGCCTTCTATATCTAGGCTAGAAGGGAGCCTATATCAACTGAGCTCTTAGGTGGTTGAGTAATTACATCCCGACTATTTTGAATGGAATATAAGGAGGAAGTGATCATGTACAGACTTTCGACTTAGTTTTATGTATTTAGGGTTTTTTTTTACTTCAGGTGATTGATCAACCCTTTCGGCCGCGTACCAATTGGAACACATTTTGTATTAAATGTTTTCAATTTGACTTATTGAAGGACTGGGTAATGCAACAAAATACATTATTTTAATTTTTGTTAAATGTTAAGGCTTTTACATGAAAAATACAAGAGACAAGATTTGAATTAAACAAAGTAACAATTTTCACTTCACTTTCAAGGTGGCCGAAACTCGTCATGGTAAACCGTTTGACATACCTGAAGAAAATGCAGGCCTGCAAAAATAAATTGAAAACATTAGAAGTTTGGCCCGTAAAATATAATAAAATATAACTTGAAAACCTAACCACAATGCTAAGATTAAGAAATCTGTGAGTGAAAGTTTTTGCAAGCACATTGTAAAAGTTAAATTTTGCTTGCAGCGCTCAATAAAAAATTCAGTTTGCCCCTTCTACCCACTTTTATGCCCACCCCTCTAGTATTATCGCCAATTGTGGTTAGACTGTTGTTTAACATACTGTTGATAAGTACTGCAGCGCATTAATTTGCATTGGCCTTTTTGCTTATCCCAGCATGCTCTCGCGCTGTTGTTGTTGCGGCGTGTTGTTTTGTTAATGGTGACCCTGAATTGTTAGCTGTGCTTTTCAGCAATAAATTATAAAGTGTTGTGGATGCTCGAGTGTGTTCTTCTTTCATTTAAAGTTTACGTTTACCTTAACTGGCGTATGTTATCATCGATTCTGCACACATGCTTTTCTAAACAATTTTGAGGCCAGCTTGCATTATTGTCTACAGGCTGTTTTGTAGATTTAGCTGAGTTTCTTTTCTAGAGAGAAGTATTTCATGGCTTCTATAAATAAAAAAAAATATTTCAAAATACAACTTACATAGAAGTAGCTTCCAGGGCCAAAAAAGTATACTGTTCATTTTGTGTTTACAGATTTGGCCTCATCAAACGAACACCCAAGCCAACAGCATTTGTAAAGAAAACATCTATCTTTGGAGATGACAGTGATGAGGTAAATACAAGACATGTACCATATGAAAAAATTACAGATTCTGGGCATCCTTTTAGGCCCTTAATAATTTTGCATACTATCCTATATTAGTAACATCAAACTAGTAAAGGTGAGGTACTTAAGCTCAGACCTTGTAACTGGAAACAGGTCATCTTGGCCCCAAGTCAACTCAACAATCTGAGTTCACTTGTGGGAGAATTTACCAGGGCAGAGTTGACTTGGGACCTAGTTGACTTGGATTCTGTGAGTCACATACTACACTAGGCTAGTTGTAGCCTAGCGTGCATAGTATGCATACAATTTAGATAGCATTTTGGATGATCAAGACATTTTCTACCTTTTATAGCAAACTTTATTTCTGAAAGATCTTCAAAGAAGCACTTTATTGAATAAGTAAAAATGTACTGCATAGTGACACTTCATATACTGTAAAAAAATTAATAGTCGATATATTAAAACTTAACATACTATATAGAGTGGAGTGTGACAAAGGCACAACCAGTTTGTGTCTTTATATGGCAATTTACTTGGCAAATATGGGCTTCAAATCTTACCTATTAAACCATAAAATGTTTATATCTCCTGTTGATTGTTTATATTGCAGGAACCCGCCCATACAGCAGTCAATCAAACTCTCATGCAGGAAGCAAGGAAGAGTAAGGTTAAAAAGCAGGTATGAAATTTGCATGTACAGTATTCAGTGACAATATGTGTATACAAAATTATATATTTTCCGCATAGGAAATTGGTTTTGTCAAAAGCCTCTATAGGCAAAAGAGAAAATTAAAAAAAATTTATTGATGAACAGCATATAAAAAATTCTCACCTAAATTAGTAAAAAATTAATTTTATTATGTCATTTTAATAACTCTGAACATGAGCTTTTGACCGTGTTCACATGGAAAAATTCCAAGGGTCAAAGGGTTTCTGAAATGAATGAGGTCAAATGAACTGGCCACTGTTTTTGGTCTCAGGATGTTGATCCACACATTTGGAAGATTGTGTCTCCAACCATTTTTTGGTACAAATTTCAGAATATTAGTGTTTCCCATTGTGATCGAGTGTCTAGGGTAGCACTTAAGTGTATGCTGTGAGGCTTCAGATGCTATTAAGGACTTCCTTGTATGTTCAAGAAACCTGAACTTATATTCAGGCGACGCATTGCAGTCATTACATTTGATTTTATATGCTGTTCTAAAACCGCCCCTTTTAAAATGGATCCTTTGGTTTTAATAAGTGTTGTCGGATAGTGTTATAAGATTTGATGAAACAGGAACAACATAATTTTTCACGATTTTGCGGATTTCTTCCTACAGTAACATCTCCTAATTACAAACCTCCCAATTAAGAACTCTCGATTTTACAAACCCAATTTGTGGCGATGACGTCATTACGAACAATCGTTTTTAACTACAAAAACACTTAAAATTATATTTGAAAGTCTTCAAAAATAATATCAAATGTTATATCAGCTAAAGGAGGAAAACATTTAAACCAATAATTTTAAAGCAAGAAATATTGATCGTTTTCAGCCGAGATATATACATTTGAGCTGTGCATGCTTGTTCAGGCATACTGAACAGTAAATCTCACTTTTTATGATTTGAGGGTGCTATTCACATGGATTCGCGAATTAACACTCGTTTTGGCCATTCTTTGGTCATGTTTTCATTTGGAAATCACTTCAAATGAATACTTTACAACAGTGAGCACAGGTAACTTTGGCTTCTGTAAAGTATTATTTTGTTGCAGAAAAAAGTAAAATCCAAGTCATTTTTTGCGACAAAGTTGCTCCCTTGGCAAGGCTTAGGTCTATCTAACCATGTACTTTGTAGCATAGGCCACCGAGATGCTATGAAAACTTTTAACTCTCTCAATTACAAATTTTCTCAATTACAAACTCTGTTTGGACGGAGGGGTATGTAATTGGGAGATGTTACTGTATATTCCTTTTATGTAAGCTATTCAGTGGCGGATCCTGGAATTTGCAATAGAGGGGGCCCAGGGAGGGACTTTCATAAAATGGATGGTCTAAACCACCTCAGCCCCACCATGGTTTGAGGTAAAAAAAATTATGATTATGGCACCTAGATGGCTGGAAATGTTACTCTCAGACTTCTTAATTTTCATAAAATTTACTTCTTTTTTCCGTTTTTTAAAAATAATTTTGGAAATTTTAGTGGATGCCCCCATCCTTGAATCTGCTACTGGTATTGCTAGACTCATTGAAAGTTGGTAACTTCATGATCATTTTTAATGAGAGATTTATTTTTTTATCGTTTATCTTGATTTAACCACAGATAGTACAGTATATTTGACTATTTAACATAAATAATGCTTTCTGTTAATTTAAATTATAATGTAGACACAGATAGAGATCCAGAAAGCTTTGGAAGAGGACCCAACTGTGTATGAATATGACAGTATTTATGATGAAATGGAGAAAAAGAAACAAGAAAAGATTATACAGAAGAAGAATGATAAGGAAAAGAAGGTTGGTCATTGCAAGCTTAGGAATTATATTAATAAATAATATTTTATTATTTATTATTATAGAAATCTAAAACTTCAGTTTTATAGTATGTGGAATATCCAATAATATATATTATCAGAGCATTTTAACGTTTCCATTCCAGCCAAAGTACATTGAGGGACTGATGAAGGCAGCCAAGTTGAGAAACAGGGAACGTGAGAAAATGATGGAACGAAAAATCCAAAAGGAACGAGAAGAGGAAGGAGATGTTGAGGAGACAGAGGCATTTGTTACGTCAGCATACAAGAAGAAGCTGGAGGAAATGAAGGAGGAAGAAGAAAGGGAACGAAGGGAAGCTGAAATGGAAGGTGAGAAAAACAAAATAGATTCAATACAAGATACATGATTCTTTTATTGTCACTTATAGATACTATAAGTTCTTACTAAGTAAAATTTATTATTGCTTATACAAATAATTAATGTGAAGGTTTACAGACAGAAATAGGTGCATATGTACAAGATGAGTAAAATGCATAAAAGACATAGCACAAGGAATATTTAGCAAGGAAGGGATTCTAATGACTGGAACTTGACTCCAGCTTTGTAGTCAAAATGCTTGGTTCAGTACAGTAACAGTTGGTTTCCTTCATTGAACATTTTTTTTTTGTATTTTGGAGTCAGTCTTCCTCACCAGCAGATTTTATGTTTTTTCCAGGGTCATTGGCTTGATTGCTGTAACAGTATCTTCCCTAGTAATAAGAAAATATGTCTCTACAATTGAAATACTACTGGGATTTTTGTATTACTATTCTATGAAATATCAATAGAGGTCTGGTTGATATGTAGTTCAATTTTATTAACATACCTATCTTACTTCCTTATTGAATTTAAGTGAACAAAAACCTGAAAAATAATACTAATTATATTATGGTAATAATTATTAGTAAAATTGTATTATGATCATTATTATATATTTATTCACCATTTATTATTATTTTATGTACTATTGATATCTTGTATAATCAATAGTAATTGATTATACAAGATATCAATCAAAAGAAATTGTATAATCATGTTTGATGCATGTTTTTCCCCAGCTAAACTTGATGTAACTAAGCAGAAAGACTTGAGTGGTTTCTACCGATATTTATACCGAGAAACTACAACAGACGAAGCAACCAATCAGGAGCCCTCAAATTCTGAAACGCAAGAGGACAGCAAGCTTGCTAAAGTGAAGGCAGAAAGGTAAAATTGATAGTAAAAATTTATAAAGATCTCTTTCACATTCAAAAGCAAGTAGACCCCTTCCTCCACCTGTCCATTACAGAATAGAAGTATGCAATGCTTTTAAACTGTGGAGTGAATTTGGTGGTGAAAATATTTTTATATTTGAACCTTGGGACTATAAGAAGGTGAGCAACTTAACCACTAAGCTTCTGTTCCCATCCTGTAATAATGATATGTTCATTGTGCTGTGGGTGCTCCATGCTTTGCCTTCCAATCCCATGGTTATGCATTTTAATCCTGTCCTGCATGCCTGAAAACAATTCATGTGACACACTAAATCATAACTTTGTTCATGTACAGCATCATATGTAAATGTATTAGTTGTGAAAGGGATCGTCTTTTTCCAACATATCTAAGTCGAACACATTTTACATGCCAAATTGTTGTGTTTTCCATTAATTAACAAGTTCAAATGTACTCCCCTAAAGTGTTCTATTGCGTAAACAGCTGCCAAAAAGCACTTCTAGTCTATAATGACACAGGCTGTTAGATGAATCTGTTCACTGGAGTAAACTCTTCTAATCTTGAAGATGTTCTGTTTTGTTAGTTTTTTTTTTAGGTTTTTTTATGCCAAACTTGAAAGTTACAAAGTAGTCAATGCTATATCATTTTATTATCACTTTGCCAAACATGGAGATCTCTGTGTTTGGAAACACAACGCTTGACCGCCAAACACAGAGATTACCGACAAGTACTAACAATTTGAACATTATATTCAGCGAAATTGCGTATATCTACAAAAGTGAGTAATTTTCATTTTACTGTTACTGGTCACAGATTGTGATTAGAATAAAGTGTTTAGTACCATTGTAAAGCTAAGATGTTTGTAGTTCTTGTAGTATTCATTACATGTCAATTTGATTACCTACGCACTTTCGACGAGATTTGGAAAAGTGTTAAAATTCGCTAAGATATCTGGTGGTGGCTAATACTATTTTTTTCAAACCCCTGGCGGTCAGAGTGTTAATTAGATTGAAATGTCAGTATATATTAAATGTATTTATTATTCAAAAAAAATTATTCAAAAGCATCGATCATTGAACAAATTAAATTTTCATTCCACTTCCAGATCTTCTGAGGAAAAAGAATCAGTAAAGAAGGAATCAAAGAAAGAAAAATATCAAAAAGATTCCAATTCATCTGATGAAGAAGAAGAATACAGAAAGGAAAAGAGCAGTGATAGAAAATCAGAAGAACATGGAAGAGACAGAGAAAAACATAGACGCAGCGAACGTCATTCAAGTCGTAAACACAGTGAGAGCAGACAAGATAAACACAGAGATTATGAAGAAAGGACACGAGATGAACATAGGGGATCACATAGAGAAGAAAGACATAAGGACAGTAGAGAAAATAGGGATGAACGCCATTCACGAACTTCTTCATCAGATAGAAGGAAGAGTAATGAAAAGGATGACAGGAATAAAAGAGTAAAAGAAAAAAAGCGTGATCGCAAAGACAGGGATGATTATTATGAAAGTAAGTCAAGAAGTTCCAATGACAATTTAAATCATGAGAAAGAAAGAGGTAATGATGAAAGAACTGGGAGGAATGAAATTAAAAGGCAGCATGAGAGTGAGGAGGATAAAGAGAAAATGTCCGAAGAGAAATCATCAGTTACTTCATCAAAATTTGTTAAGAGGAACATTGGCGAGTCAGTCATGTCTGCCAAAGAACGCTATCTAGCTCGTCAAATGGCTAGGATGGCTGCTCAAAAAACCGCACCAGTCGAGGAGGAAGATTGAGAGATAAAGAATAATAAACGTTTTCGCTAAGCCCTGTGCCGTGGAGTTGCTGAGGTCCCACGAAAGGACAGTGTAAAAACATGTGCAAACACATGTATTTGTGGGACAACACAATGAAAGGGATGTTTGTTAGTATTCTTGGCCCTATTATGATTGGTCAGTTGATACGTTTTATTGACACTTTGGAAAGATCCATTAATAACTAGGTTTGGTTCCTAACATTAATAATTCCTAAAAACATTAAACTAAAGCAGGGGTGGCCATAAATATCGGTCGGACAGCCGAAGTTAAATTTTGATTTAACACCAAAGGCCGCACCCAAATTTTGATGTTTCCAGCGTGCTTCCAAAAACCTCCAAGCAATGCTTTTACACCACTTTAGTCCCAGTTTTAATATTACTTTTTACAGATGGTTGGTGTTGGACCATTAAAAAAACCAGGTGTTTTCAAGCCAATGTTGCTTGGCTGGCCGCACACATAGGGTTTTTAATTCATTTTAGGGGCCACACAAAAATCAGTCGGGCCACATGCGGGCCGCACTGTGGCCACCTGTGAGCTAAAGCCATACTTGAATTGGAGTGATTTTGGTTAAACCATGGTAAAAGTAACCTTGTAAAACCTGGTTACTTTGACCAAAAAATAAATCGCAAACGAACAATGTGACCTGTGTAACATTCTCCTTGGTCAAATTACAGTATGTGTGACAAGTTTAACCGAGTGAATGTTGCACAGGAAGAATAACCAAGGTATTCTTCCTCAACAGGAAAAGTTCAGTGCTCAGAAATATTCCTGAGCACATGCTACTACCGCGTGTAATGCTGTAGTTTTCACGGAATGCTGACCGATAAGATTATATTATACTGACCACATATGCGCAAAATCTTACTACCTTAAAAGCTACTGCGTATTTATATCAATGTCCAAACAGTTACCCTTCATCTAAAAAACACTCCAATGTGAACGTGGCCTTAGTCTTTTAAAATTATTTAATTGTTTTTAAGGAACATTGAATATTTTTTATTAAAATTGACTTGTGTATCTCTATCCGTATAATAATATTTTATTCTGTGTAATGTGTTGGGGTTTATGTGTGTACCTGTAATGTGTAACTTGCACTATAATACAGGTAGAGTAAAGCCTTGGAGCCCAAATTTTGACGATTTCGTGAATAATGCATCATTTTTAATGATGATCTGCTCAGACTGCTACCAACGATCAGCAGACGGTGTCACGTCAAGCGCTCACAGAAAGTGGAGATGGATCCGTACAACCGTACTTAATACTTTTAGCAATGATGTATAGTGATATTGGTTGAGATCAATGAAATAGAGATGGCGATAAAATATGGTGATGTTGAAGATGACAATACAGTTGATGGTGAATGACGGTGGTTAAGATCACGTCGAAGGCGATGACAATGATGTTAAAGGCCATGGTGGAAATGGCCGGCAGTGATGATGAGTTTTGCAAAAAATTAATGCTGTAAATATTTGCAATTTAAATATTTTACTACTATACAGGATTTTCCAACTATCGAATGCAAAATTCTGTTGAATATTTTTTTACTTGTAACCGTGCTATGAAAATAAATGATATTGGTACTGACACGATATCATAATCATCAAAAATAACACCGGTCAGAATGTAGTTCTAACTCGAAAAGAAGTTCATACTATCTTAGTTAGAAGCCCATGGGCTTCTTCTCGAGATTAATTTTGTAAACTAAAGAGGGGGTCTTCTTTCCGAGATGAGCTGTTTCTCGAGATTAAGCCCATTGGGCTTCTATTCGAGGATTTTTAATGTAGAGGAAATCAGAAAAACCAATGTTGTTTTCTTATCATTTAATTAAAGTCAGAAAATAGAACTGGAAATATGTACTTAATTCTAGCATTCCCAAATATACATCGCATCCTATTTCAAGTACTATTTTGTTGATCAATAAACCAAACCATTTCTATTAAATAAACAATATAATAAATAATAAGTATGACACACTGACTAAAGTTCATTTGTTTCGCTAATCTAATATTAAAGACTAATAATAATTGATGAGTCCAACTGAAAGGGATTATTATTTAACAGCCCAAATAAAGTTTATTGATTAAAAAGGGTTACATAAGCTTCTCTTCTGTATAACATACTCTATAACTAAATCTAAAAGCCATTTAAGTCAAATGAAATAAATTAAATAATGTAGATAGAAGTTACAGTCTTTTATTTAAAACATACATTAAAGCCAAAATGTTTTGATATGTTGTACAACTGATTTTTCTGAGACACAAAAAGCATTTTTGACGAGAAAACTCGGAAGCGATTAATGAGATACAGATTTTTTAATATTTAAAAACTGGGGGAAAGGGGGCCTGACCACCATTTTTTCTACCTTTTCCCCCAGTTTTTAAATATTCAAAAATCTGTACCTCATTAGCCTCTCCTGAGTTTTTCGTCAAATATGCTTTTTGTGTCTTACAACATACCATTTTCCCCCTCCGTATCCTGGCTTTTATAGTTACAAGTAGGCCTAGAAGATGTTAGGTGATACATGGTGCCTGTCTATCTCTTTTATTTCAATAATGAAATAAAAAGGTAAAGGTAATCTGCTATATTTATGTTTTTTAAAGTGAATACATAATGAATGTATCTTCTTATTATTCTTGTTGATACCATATCAACAATTTATGGAAATTTGAAATTTTCTTTTTCTAATGTATATAAATACGCTAATGCTAACAGAATACACTATCAGAAATTGCTATTATCATGCTATCACCGTAAGAGTAATTAGTAATAAAACAACAATAATATAAACGGAGGAGTAATGATTAACTAGCTAACAATAAAGAATAACAATTACAAAGATGCTGATAAAAATATAAATAAATAAATAATAAGACAAGATAAGAATAAAAATAATAGCAATGACAGGAACTAAAGAATAGTCCATTGCAGAAATGTTATTATATAAACCATTAATCATTATCTTCAATCCCAAAATCTGTTAAGACTATGACGTCACCATTAGGATTGCTACAGGATTCGGCACTCGGCTTCCGGTCGATTCTTCATCACCTTGTCACCCTGTCTTGTGCAGCATTGTAGCAGATTTAGCATGACCTTGTGTGTTTCTGGATCAACGTCATGGTCGCGAATGGTGTAGTTACGCATCGGGAAGATGAACTGGATGCCGATGTCCTCGAGGTCACTAACAATCTCTTCCACGCGATGCTCCTTTGCTTCGTCAATGTGGGTGATTACAGCAATTGGGAATTCACCTGCAACAATAATGAAAATAATTAGTAAATTTATTCCTTCCTTTAATATTTACTATGGTTTGAATTTATATGTTAATAAAACCAATAGCCTACTGTAATTTAACTATTAATTAGATATAGTTTTTTCTCGTGAATTCCTATATGCTTACTTGTAGCTATCTTAATTCGTTTCGCAAAGTCCTCCATCTCTTTCACACGAAGTGTACGATCTGAAGCGCTGGAATTTGAACAGAGTAAAACAATAACAACACCAGGCAATACTGCCATCATCTTCTATAGTCGGGTTTTCATTAAATCGCCACACTATCGCTACAGCATTTTTACTGCAATCGTTACGCGCTATACTGCGTGCTGTCGGAGATAGGATCTGTGGAGCGATTGTATGGAAACAAGACAGGCATGACCCGTCCATGCAATGAAATGTTAAAATCGTTTACAGCTTGCACCAAAAGTATAGGATTCTACTCTTTGTTTGCACCTACCTGACAACAAGCAGAGCAATGTGAATCTGACAGTCTTTCGTGTCCTTTAACGCCATCTCTTTTGCGTCGAATATCTTCTCCACGACATTCCTATTCCAATTGACGTTATCACTGTTTTCACGCAGTCCACCTGTAAAACAATGACCAATTTCTGCATTTATTTTGGTATTAGGCGTATATATTAAATTAGTAGTTATTTTCTGCCAATGAATTCATATGTAATACGACGTTATATCATAAAAGAGTGTGTCATTTCAGTGACGGATCAGGGCCTTCACAATGGCAGCCAGAATCTCTGAGCAAGTTCAAATCAATTAGGTAGGCCTAATTGATTAAAATGGCTAAAATAAGGGAACGTCCCTAACCGCCCACATCGGATCATATGTTTTGTACCCATCGAACCAGGTACTCGATTAGCCTACCTCGGGAAAAATCCTGGATCCGCCCCTGCATTTTGGAACATTTTAATTAATACGAATTTTCTTGTTGTTTCCTTAAAAACACAACAAAAGAAATATTATAATATCATTAGAATAGATTTAGTCTTACGTAATTGTGTAGCAACTACGGCGACGGTGGCCTCGTCAAAATCCGGCATGCCTCGATTGTCGAATACCGCAATTTGATCCGTCAGAAAAACTTTCAGAAACCCTCTGGTTTTCCCGCCATCCGTGGTGCTACATACTCCCGTTCGTTCACCAGTTATATCTTCATAAGGTCTCTTAAGATCGTAGCCCAGTACATATTTGAGTGAGTTAATCAGACAGGATTTTCCGGAGCCAACTCCTCCAAAGACGGCAATGTACAGCTCTTTCGGAAGATCTTCGGCTAGAGGTCTCTCTCCGATTTCGAGCGTTGTACTCGGTTTATATCGTTTGACGCTATTTAAAGTTTGTCTGGCCTCTTTATCGAGATCGATGATGTTTAGTTGACGTAAAAATTGATACCCAGGTGCATACATTATGACGTAATCGGTGCCTGGAATTTTTAAACCGTCAGCCATCTAGCCAAGATGAAACTACATTAAGGAAAAGTAACAATTATAAGTAGTCATGCTACAAGCGACCGAATTGTTTCGGATGTTCCTACAACACGGTTTTCTAAAAGGTTTTGTGTCTTGTACCTACCGTACTCGAGCGAATAAGCGCCCGGGCGCTTAAAATATTCTTTCACTTTTTGAGGGGCGCTTATTCAAACGGGGCGCTTATTCGAATGGGCGCTTATCAAAACCGAGTGGAAATTGAGGGGGCGCTTATGGAAATTGAAGAAAATCGAGGGGTTCTTATAAGGACCTATTAAATTCAAGAGGCACAGTTTGAATGAAAAACGATTATATAAGGACATCAGGAAACCACAAATTACGAATGGTGGTGGGGCGGAAAAGATAATCGTCCAGAGAGCATGGCTTGTCATGACAAGAATGTTGTGAGTACAGTATTACATAACAGTAGAATAGCAGATGAAATTAGTGGTGGTGTTTAGCTTGTTGGCCATCGGCCGATTGAGATTAGCAGGATGGCATGATCATTGCAGGTTTTCTTGAAAACTCAGATGAGAATGTGTGAGGTGCAAATTGTCGGAAAAGCATTAAGACTAAGCTATAGAGGAATGCAAAGAGATGAAAGTTGGAAATAATACTGTCTGTCCAAGGAGCTCTCATCTGTCCAATCATCTAGCACAATTTTCTTCACTTTTTAATATTATTAATATTATTATCTAATATCACTATCGTCATCATCATCATCATCGTTATCATCATAATTATTATTATTATTACTACTACTAGTAGTACTGTAGTATTAAAACAAAGCATGATAGAGCTTGCAAAAGGATAAAACCAAACTGAACCATACAATATCACATTTTTGTATCTGATACCCGGCCTGAGACTTATGGATTTAAGATTTTAAAAAAATCACGCTTAAGCCTGTGTTATTATAGTAGGCCTATGTATAACGTGTGCTGATGCATATTTACATAGATTAGAAGTATTTATTTTGTGTGATCCCTGGAAAGAATTTGTATTGGCTAGCAAGAACAATATTTAAAATTTTAACACTGTGTACAAAGGGTGGTGGGAGCCGCGGCCATGCCTGTATACGTCCATGCCTTAATCCGTTCGGTTTCCCACACTCCTACTGGATCCGCCCCTGTTTTAAAGAAATAAATATATCATGGTAAAAAATATCAGCTAGTAATACGGTTCCTTATGGAAAGGCCAACATAATATTGAGGTGATTGAAGTCTAAGGTTGGGCACCGAAACTGATTAATTTGTCGATTATGAACTGATGTGACTGGCAGAACTGCCGATGCACCTACAAGTAAGGCCTACATAAACAAACATAGGCCAACATTACATTTATAGTATATAAAAAAAAGATTATATATATATTAATGCTACCCTATAATACTACATGGATTGGTGGTTGTCACACAGGAATCAAGAACAGTGAGAATTCCAACAATCGCAATTTTCTTTGAATATTGCATTAGGTGTAGAGTTAAGCCCTATATAACATTTTATTTTACATTTAAAAGTGTAAAAGACTGTAAAATTATAATTAGGCCTAAATTTCAAAAAGTTAAACTGTATTGAATTGAGGTGACGCGCTGGAAACCAAGGACAATGACAATTTCAACAATCGCAATTTTCTTTTAATATATTTGTGTAATTTCCTTTGAATGTTGTATTATTGTACAGTTTGGCCATATAACATTTTTATATACACTTAAAAGTGTATAAAGACTGCAGCGTTAGAATTCAATATTAAAAATTAAAAGTTAACCTCCCAGACGGGGAATTGAACCCCGGTCTTCCGCGTGACAGGCGGAGATACTCACCACTATACTATCTAGGATTGGTGATTATCGCCTAGGAAATCAAGAACAGTGACAATTCAAACAATTGCAATCATTAGGCCTATCGTATAGTAGAAAATCATTAGTGTACAGTTAGGCCCTATATAACGTTTTAATTTACACTTACAAGTGTATAAAGACAGAGTCAAAGTTTATAAAATTAAAATGCACTGAATTGTGAATTGAACCTCGGTCTTCTGTGACAGGCGAGGCGCACAAGAGACCAATCCAGTGACAATTCCAACAATCGCAAATTTTTTACAACATTGTATAATTGTGCAGGTATAGGCCATAGGCCTATGACATTTCAATTTACACTCAAAAGTGTATGACTGCAAAGTTAGAATTAAATAAAAAATAATAAATGTTAACCTCCCAGACGGGTAATTGAAAAGATTCTTTATCATGAAAATTGGGGATTGTCCCAGAAAATCAAGAATATTTACAATTCCAACAAATACAGTTTTCTTTGAATACCGTAGAATTAAAAAAAAACATTACATGAAAGTAAGTGTTTATAAAAACTACCAACTTTAAATTATAG